GATTTTCCAGGCAAAAATACTGGAGTGGGTGGCCATTTCCTTCTCCAGGGAATCTTCCCAACTCAGGGATCAAACCCATGTCTCCTGCATTGGAAGGTGGATGCTCTACCACTGAGCCATCTGGGAAGCCCTTTGGCAACGTGCTTATTTTTTTTTTTTTTTCAGATCTGAAAATGTCTTTATTTTTTAGAAAATGGATTCCAGGAAGGTTAAAAAGCAATACCAGAGGGTATAGAGGTGCAGAACTGGATGTAGTTATTGACAAAGGGATTGTTGTTGCAATGAGAATGTCTTTCCCCTCCCAAATACAGAGAAAGCATTTTTTTTACGCTGGGCTTTTATCTCCTGCTTTCAGAAATAAAAAGGAGGTCAGACTGCCCTTCTTGCACCTGCTATTTCTCAAGTGCCCTTAGTTTAAAATAATTAATATGTCAAAATGGCATATTTGGGGTTGAGATGCTCTGAACTCCTTTATCTTTGCTTGTAAGGTCCACCTATTCCTCTTGTTCATTTCTACCCATCATCCAAGTCTTTTTCTTTTTCTAGAATTTATCCTATGAATTAAACTCATGGGACTCTTGCCATATGCATCACATAGCTTGCTGCTTTCAAAATATGTCCTCTTGTATTGTGAATATTTGTTTTATGCATTTGTCATCTCTCTCCAACTACATTGCTAGCTCCTTAAATATTTGGCTCATTTAATAAGTGTCCACAATCACACAACTTTAAAACTGCATTTTAGATGCTGAAATTGGTATGCAGACTACCACTGTGCTAGTCACCCATAGTAAGAGTAGTAGAGTTAATGAGAACATCATGGTGGTGGTGGTTTAGTCACTAAGTTGTGGCCAACTCTTTGTGACCCCATGGACTGACCGTAGCCTCCCAGGCTCCTCTGTCCATGGGATTTTCCAGGCAAAAATACTGGAGTGAGTTGCTGTTTCCTTCCCTGGGGGATCGTCCTGACCCAGGGATTGAATCAGTCTTCTGCTTGGCAGGTGAATTCTTTCCCACTGGCCACCTGTGTAGCTGAGAACATTATAGTATAATAAAATCGAGTGCTTACTATATACTGGGTACAAATTATGTATATATTTATTTATTTAATTCATAACAATTGGCATCATCCTTCATGGTTTTCTTCATCTCACATTCCATATTTAGCTCATGTGACTCTATTAGCTCTACCTTCAAAACAGAGCCAGAACCTTCCCACTTCTAATCCAAATCACCAGTACCATCCTGATTCCAGGCCCCATCATTTCTCTCCAGGCTTACTGCAAAATCCTCCTAATAGCTGTATTCTCAATACAGCTCTTTTAATGTTTTAAGTCATATCTCTGTTCAAAATGCTGCAAAGACCACCCACTTCCATAGTGTGAAAGACAAAGTCCTCAGTGGCCTACAAGAGCCTATGTCACTGGCAAAGCACACGAGATTCCATGAAAAAATAAGATGAAATCTAGGTGCCCAGGTCCAATTTCTTTTGTGTTTAGTTTCACTTACTATAGGGGATCTGTTTAGAGGTCTTGCCCCTAAAACATGGATTAGAGTTCTAGTGCAGAACTGCTACATCTGACATCCCAGGACTTAAGTGCTGAACCATACAATACCCTGAACAACACAACTGTGCCCCTTCCTGTTGACAAAAACCGCATAAAGCAGCCCTGCCCATGGCCTGTGGAGGGGAGTTTGTTCTTCTAGAACTCACACCTCTCCATTCTTTGACCGAAGGGTAAGGCAGCTCAGTCCAGTATTCTTGCCTGGGAAATCCCATGGACAGAGGAGCCTGGAAGGCTACAGTACCAGGGGTCACAAAGCGTAGGACATGACCGAGCAACTAAACAACAAAGCTCTGCTTTGCTTCTGAACAGAACCAGGCAGGAGGACCCTTGTTAGAGCCTAACTTGCAAGTGTTGCAGGAAGGGGGACCCCTTTCAGGGCCCAAACCTGGGCTTTTGTCTTAACACTCGGAAATGAATTATCTAAGGAGACACATGTGCTGACAAAGCAAGAGATTTTATTGGGGAAGGTTGCCTGGGCAGTTAGGGTAAGGAAACCCAGGAGAACTGACTGTTCTGCAGTCTTGGGTTTTATGGTGATGGGGTTAGTTTCTGGGTCATCTTTAGTCAATCATTCTGACTCAGAGTCCATTCTGGTGGTGCACACCTTGTTCAGCCAAGATGGATGCCAGCAAGAAGGATTCTGGGAGGTGGTCGGACATGTGGTGTCTCCTTTTGATCTTTCCTGAACTCTGCTGGTTGGTGGTGGCTTATTAGTTCTGTGATACTTACCAGGATCTCCTGTTGTAAAACAACTCATGCAAATAGTAACTATGGTACCTGGCCAGAGTGGGTGGTTTCAGTCAGTGTGCTTCCCCTAACAAAAGGATTGGTAATGTGAGACAGGCTGGGACCTGGGACCCTTTGCTACAGTGCTTACACATGAACAAACATCTCTCCAGGAACAAAATACAAAGAAACTTTAAGGGACTAAAAATAAATGCTTTCATGAGAAGTATACAAGATACAAAAAGACCAAAAATATTCTAACTACCACTTCTGAAGAACTGGGCACAAACACAAGGTGTTGGGAGCAAAAGGAGGAGGGTACTGTGCGTGCTCCCTGCACTTAACATCACCAATGTGCATGCATGCACATTGGTGGACAAGTCATTTGCCATTTCCTACTCCAAGCGATCTCCCTGACTGAAATCAAACTCACTTGTGTCTCCTGAACTGGCAGGTGGATTCTTTACCACTGTGCCACATGGGAAGCTCCAACACTACTAAAGAAGTGGTGTGTGCATGCTAAATCACTTCAGTTGTGTGGTGTGAGACTCTTTGAAATCCTATGGGCTATAGCTCACCTGGCTCCTCTGTCTATGGGATTCTCCAGGCAAGAATACTAGAGTGGGATGCCATTTCCTCCTCCAGGATATCTTCTGGACCCATGGATTGAACCTGTCACTCTTAATTCTCCTGCATTGGTAGGCAAGTCCTTTACCACTAGTGCCACCTAGGAAGCCCCCTAAAGGAGTGGGCAAACCACCTCAGCCACCCAAACCACCCCTCCAATATGACTTCTGGACACACCGCTACCTTTACCTAATATCAGGAACCAACTCATTCCCTGCCTCCAGGAGTGAGTAAGGGAATCTGTTATTTGTTTTCACTGTCCTCTGTTTGCCTGAAGTTCTTGTCTGACCTCTTATCAATGTCTATTGATTGGGCAAGCCAAGAACACTGACTGGTATCAATAATATGATGCTCCTTCCTCCATCACTAGAAACTCCTTTCACACTTTTCTGGGCTGCTTCAGCAACACTGGCTAGCCTTGTTTTTCCACAGACACATAATGCATCTAAAGTCATGGCTCTAGTTTTTTCTTCTGTGTGTGTGTGTGTGTGTGTGTGCACATGTGTGTGTGTTAGTCACTCAGTCGTGTCCGACTCTGCAACACCATGGACTGTAGCAAGCCAGGCTTCTCTGTCCATGGAATCCTCCAGGCAAGAATTCTGGAGTGGTTGCCATTGCTTTCTCCAGGGGATCTTCCCGACCCAAGGATTAAATCTAAGTCTCCTGCAAGCAGCAGAGTCCCTGTGCGACCAGGGAAACCCTTCTTCTGCCTAGAGTATGACAAGTTACTTACACAGTTGACTTTTCTTCAAGCTAGCAACTGGTCCGTCACCTTCCTGATTCCTGTCAAACTCTATATTCTTTTTCACACAGCACTCCTTTTCTTTTAATATACTATACAACTTTTTAGCAGAACATTGCACCTCCCCACCTCCACATACACTCCACAGGAGTAAAGTGGGACATAAGTGATTTTTATTTTATTCATGGATGTATCCCAAGTATTAGGGTAAACTAACTAAAACCATCCACCCTGGCCAGGCACCACAGTAACTTAGGTTGCTTCCTGGTAAGAAACAAGGAACTAACAAGATGGAAGAATTCGGGAAAGTTCAAAAGGAGACACCATATGTCCTACCAACTTCCCCAAATCCTCTTCACTGGAATCCATATTGGCTGTGCAACGTGCATGCCACCAGGAAGGATCCTGAGTCAAGAGTGATTGACCAGAAACAACCAGGAAACTAACCCCATCAACGTAAGGCCTGAGATTGCAACCACGGTGGCAGAGCAGTCCTTCTGGGCTCCCTTACCCTTCTGCTCTGCGCTGGGGCACCCCCTTCACAATAAATTCTCTTGCTTTGTCCATACCTGTGTTTCCTCAGACAGTTCACTTCCAGAGTTAGACAAGAGCTCGTTCTCAGGCCCTGGACAGGAGCCCCCCTCCTGAAACACAAGAGCCTGAAACAGAGCCAGCTACCCGAAAGGCACTCAATGAATACCCGGCGAGAAAGTTTAGAAGCTAGAATTTCCTTCTGCAAGGCTGCTGGTCTTTGGTAATCAAGCCTTAATCAGCTTCCTAGCCTCTTTATTACAGAGTGACCAAAGCCCAGGGAGCCTAGCGGTTCTGGGAATAGCTCCAGAAGGAAGTTTGAGGTACTGAGGAGATCAAACCTAAATAACTGAAGGATTCGTTTCTTTTAGATGGGTGGCTGAGTTAGTCAAGACCAACGTACTCTCCCTTTGTACGACCACAAGTGTTTCGATTGGTAGCGTAAGTGACTTTGAACGTTTTCCTACCCAAACAAATCCAGTGCCCCCGAGCCCAGGTCTGCGATGCGGGCCTTGCCCTTCCCAGGCAGCTTCAGTGCCCTCACTTAGGTGGTTAGGCCGCGCCTAAACAGCGTTATTTTCCGGGGACTCGACATCCGTGACTCACAGACTAAGCGCCAAGTGACGCGTGCTCCGCGCCCAGGTATCCCTCTGGCCGCCGCACGGGCGGCAGCGCCGGTTGCCTGACAGGCGGCGGAGCGAACAGGCGCTTGAGGCCCCGGGCACGTCACGGCGGGGGCGACGGCAACGGCGGCGACTTCCCGGCTCCCACCCGCGCTCGCCGCACGCACGCGCACTGCGCCCAGCATGAGGGTAGCAGCTCTGATCAGGTAACGCGGCGTCCGCGCTGCCTTCGTCTTCTCTGTCAGCTTCTAGTCCTTTCCGACTGACCGGGCGGGAGCCGCCGCCGCCGCCGCCGCCGCCGATTGAGCGGTGTCCGTGCAGGAGCCGCCCGTCGCGGGCTCGGCGGCTCCTCCTGGCCGCAGGAAGAGGCGGAGCCTTCGGGCTACAGCCTGCTGGGTCCCAGGCCCTGGGCTGGTACTCCTCCTCTCTGCCCGTCGCCGCCTCCCTGGTCGTCTGGGCATCAGACTTGGGTTCAGATTGGATTTACGTTTTAAACTACTGATGCCTGGGACTCACCGCCAGAGCGTTTAGTTAGTCTGACCCGGACCTGGGTCGGATTCTCAAAAGCTGTAATGGGCCGTGGAGTTTGAGAGGCAGTACTTGACGCCACTTAGTGTCCCCTACCCTTTTCTCTTTGTTTTCTTCTCAGGATCCTGTCTTTCTACGGGTCCTCCGGCTCAGCCTTATTCCCGAGGTTGCTACCAGCCCCGCCCCCTCTCACAAAAGACCACCTGTCCCTCTTCTGCGTCCCAGTAGTGACAGGACTGCTGCTGACGAGGATGTGCTTTAGCTTGGTGTCAAAGATAGAGATGGAATCATCCTGTTTTATCCTAGATCCAGCTGCCATTGCTTTGGAGACTCATTGCGTTTAGAAAAGTGACTTTATGGTAACATACTCCATATTCCAAAAAGAGCTTGAAATCTATAGTAACCCATCATGTTTAGGTGTCCATGACGACCAAAGGCTGGTCAGTTTAAATGGCTCCATACTAGTTCTGTGAACGGAAACAAAAGGAAACAAAATAACAACATGCAATAGGGAATTTAAACTGCTTGAACGTTTATTTGACGAGAATTGGATCGATGTAGAGTGAGTTGCATGCAGCCATGCAACCTGGAAGATTTCATGAAAGTCTTTGTTCAGTGCCTTAGGAAACTAATACTGGCTGAAAACAGTGTGACCCACTTAGAACTCTTGATATAACATCTTTTACTTCAGTGCCATTGTTAAGATACTAGACTATAGTGCCAAAATAATTATTTTTATACAGTGAATGTCTTCTGTAAACAATGATTAAGCTTTCAGCGTTATGAATGAGCTTCAGTTGATATAGATCAGTAAGAATAAAAAGCAGTCCAGGAAATGAGTAATTCACATCCACATACAGTTTACCAAAAGTTTAACCATTCAAGTAAGACATTTAACTAGTCTCAGAAATGTTGGAGGGAAAGAGACAAGAAAATTGGTATAATTTATTACACTAAATATTGTGTGCATATTTTACTTTTATAATAAAACTACTGTTTTAAAGAAGCAGTGTTGGAAAATTGTTGCTAAATTGTAAAATTGTTGCTAATATATATAAGATCTATATAAATGTTGTAAGATATGCTATAAGTTGGAGTACAGAATGTAATATGTACATATGAATGTGCATGTGTGCGTGCTTAGTCACTTCAGCTGTGTCCTACTCTCTGCAACCCAATGGACCATGGCCCGCCAGGCTCCTCTGTCCATGGGATTCTCCAGGCAAGAATACTGGAGTGGGTTGCCATTTCCTTCAGTGATAAAGTGTGAAGTGAGTGAAGTGAAGTCACCCAGTTGTGTCTGACTCTTTGCCACCCCATGGACTGTAGCCTACCAGGCTCCTACGTCTGTGGGATTTTCCAGGCAAGAGTACTGGAGTGGGTTCCCATTTCCTTCTCCAATATGAATGTGAATGCATACATAATACATATATACATTTGTATGCACATACACTTGAATGTATTTGATTTTAATTTAATACTATGAATCTACTTGTAATAAGTATGTTTAGTGTGTGTATGTGGGTGCACTAAGAGATGAGATATGTGTGTGCATTCTAGGGAATAAGTGAAACCAATATTCTTACATATCTTTAGACCGTGAAGAACATTATTTTCCTAATTCACAAAAGATTGTGTCATTTAATTTTACAGTTGAATGGCACCTTGAGGATTAGTTAGGCCATTCTCTAATTTTATAACAAAGCATATAGACCCAAGCACAATGAGTAACTTAGCTTAGTATTCCAGAATTGGGAACTAAACTTCTGATCTTCTGTAGAATGTCTCCCCTAACATATGTTATGTATTCTGTGATGTTCTAAGAAGTGAGTAAGGGACTCAGCCTTTTCCATCCAGAATTGGGAACTAAACTTCTGATCTTCTGTAGGATGTCTCCCCTAACATATGTTATGTATTCTGTGATGTTCTAAGAAGTGAGTAAGGGACTCAGCCTTTTCCAAACTTAATTTGACCTTGAAAAGCTTATGTTCTTAGAGCATTTGTTGGACACTGTTGTCCCACAGGGGGCTTCCCATGTAGCTCAGCTGGTAAAGAATCTGCCCACCATGCAGGAGATCTGGGTTTGATCCCTGAGTCGGGAAGATCCTCTGAAGAAGGGTTAGGCTACCCACTCCAGTATTCTTGGGCTTCCCTTGTGGCTCAACTGGTAAAGAATCCACCTGCAATGTGGGAGACCTGGGTTTGATCCTTGGGTTGGGAAGATCCCCTGGAGAAGGGAACGGATACCCACAGGGCACAGTTTGGGAAATACTATTTTAAATTCATATTTGAGATCTTAGCATATTTTAAAATAAAAGGCCAAGTTCTGATTTAGGATATATACCCTTTAATCTTTAATATTCTAAATATTCTAAAGAATTAGATCAATACATCCTGCAGAAATCAAACAGTGAGGTTCAATAGGAGAAGTTACGCAAGATATACTTATGGGAATATCAGAATCTGAGGGATGAGAGTGTGATATGTAACTTCACTTTGCCCTTTGCAATTTCCCTCCCCTTGAGAAGTTCAGGAATAACTGTTGTTACTGATCAGAATATGGTTATTGTCATTTAGTTGCTAAGACATGTCTGACTCTTTTTCAACCCCATGGACTTAACCCACCAGGTCTCTTATGTCCATGGGGTTTCCCAGGCAAGAATACTAGAATGGGTTGCCATTTCCTTCTCCAGGGGATCTTCCTGACCCAGAGATCAAACAGAGGCTCCTTCATTAGCAGGGGATTCTTTACCACTGCGCTACCTTGGAAGCCCTCAGAATGTGGTGAAAATGAAAGTCTCTCAGTCATGTCTGACTCTTTGTGACACCATGGACTATACAGTCCATGGAGTTCTCTAAGACAGAATACTGGAGTGGGTAGCAGTTCCCTTCTCCAGGGAATCTTCCCAACCTAGGAATCGAATCAGGGTCTCCCGTGTTGCAGGCCAATTCTTTACCAACTGAGCTATCAGGGAAACCCTCAGAATGTAGCAGAGGCTGACAAGTGCTGGGAACTAAAAAGGCAAAAGGGCCAGCTTCTAGGATAATCAGTCTCTTAGTTTCTTTGCTTATGAGTAGGTCTAAACATTGTCTGGGGGTACATTTGCAGATTTTAAGCAAAGATTAGAATGAAAGGAAACAGGAATAAAACAAAGGGAGGGAGACAATGATTTTTAAAAAAGAAGAAACATGCATAGAGAGGAGCAGTAGAGTATTTAACCAAAATAGTATATTGGTTGCAATTCAACCTTGTTAAAGATGAACTAACACTGGTCTTGAGTAAGTGATTTGCCTTAGATAGATTTGGTACCAGAATTTAGAAGTTCCTCAGGCCTTATCCTGCCATCGAATGTGGTGATGGTTGAAAGCTGAAGTACTTATAGTACTGATGTTTAACTTTATCAGGGTAATTCAGCTTTTAGATTTCAACCTCTACAGAATTTGAACCCACCAAGTATGTCAAACTTTGTCATTTGACTGGATCTCAGATCTTTAATTTGATCCTTTAATTGGTGCTGGTGACCATCATTAGCATTCCCAAAGTGAGAGAGAACAGGTACTTTTTCATAGAAAATTTCATCTGAGAAGTATATATAATGTGTTCAACTGGAATGTAAAATTAAATCATTTTTTATTTGCAAAACACTTTATATATTAAAGCAAAACCACTATCAAAAACCAAAGAGTTACAATTTTAGCATAATCTTTGTTATGATGGCATATAATTTCATAAGCCCTTGTGAGTAGCAACTTGAGATATTCTGATTCCTTTGATCAGTTGCATATGCTGTGGAAATTACACATTCTACTGCACAATAAGTCCCTAAAATATTCTGAAAAGCTAAAAAAAATAATGTGTTCTATTTTGATGTATAATGAGGCTATGTTAAATAACAGTCAGTAACCTGATATTTATTTGTCTCCTTATCTATTTATTTTTTTAGTGGTGGGAAGGACAGCTGTTATAATATGATGCAGTGCGTTGCTGCTGGGCATCAGATTGTTGCTTTAGCAAATCTAAGACCTGATGAAAACCAAGGTAAGCGTATACATATATTGGAAAGTTCTCTAAAAGACTGAAATTCCAGCCTTATAATTGCATTGTCTTATACACAATATGCAAACAATTAATGGGAACTCTTATATCTTTAGCACTGTTTAGACGCTACATTCTGTGCTAAGTGTTTTCAATTATGTAATCTTTAATCCTCCTAAGAACTCCTAGAAATTTACTCCTAGGCAAAGATACTGAAGCTTTGAGTTTTATAATTTTGTCCAAGGTGAAATATCTAATACAAACTTGTAGAGCTGACACTTGAATCCTCTTACTTCAGAGTGCACTGTTGTTCCACTACAACACTTTTCCAAGTGTTGTTGGCAATGCATGGGTAAATAACATAGAACTCTTTGGAGCTTGGAAAGTAAGACATATGTGAATAAATGATAATACATACATTTGTTATTAAAAGCATTCAGTTTAGTCATCTTTGATGTTAACTAAATGTGTGATACTTGAGAAAACCATTGAACAATACATTTCCACTTTTTATTCATCTATGGTAATAAGGACATCTGCAAATAATCCACAGACCTTATTTTAGCTACTTTTTTCAGTTTTTCTCCAATGAAATTTCTCCATTTAGATGTTTTTTTTTCTCTGTGTCCATGTTGGTATCCAAATTTCCTCTTTTAATATGGACACCAGTCATATTTGGTGAAGGGCTCACTCTAATGACTTCATTTTAACCAATTACATCTTCAATGACTATTCCCAAACAAGGTAACATTTTGAGGTATTAGATGTTAGGACTTTACTCCAAGAATTTGGGAGTGACACAGTTCAACCAACAAAATCTTTTTTTTAATTGAGATATAATTGATATATAATACTGTATTCATTTTATGTGTATAACAGTGATTTTATATAGATGTATATAATATATACATATATACACAACAAGTTTACTTTACATTCATCACCTCACATAATTATATTTTTTTTCCCATCAGACTTTTAAATAAAAGAAAAATATTCATTGATTTGCTTTTTATAATTTTTATTATACCCATGCAACCATAGATATTAACTGTTGAAATGTAATAGAGGGAGATTAAACTTGTCTAACTCGATTACTGCTTTTCTACTAAGATCTTTTTATCATCCCCTTTACTCAGCTTCTTTTAAGATTCCATGCTTTTACTCTACTATTATTCTAGGATTAATTAAATTAGTATTATATGCAGAAACACTAATAATTCCTGGCGTGAAGTAGGTCCCCAATAAATTTAGTTTAATCTGAGTGAGTAAAAGTGAGTGTTAGTCGTTTAGTTATGTCTGACTCTTTGCAATCCTATGGATTGTAGTCCACCAGGCTCCTCTGTCCATGAAATTTTCCAGGCAAGAATACTGGGGTGGGTAGCCATTCTCTTCTCCAGAGGATCTTCCTGACTCAGGGATTGAACCTGGGTTGCGGGCCGATTTTTTACCATCTGAGCTATCAGGGAAGCCAGTTAAATCTGAATCTTGCACTAGATATTTTTCTTCCTTCCTTCCTTCTTTCCTTCTTCAGTGCTGCTGGCATATTGAATTTTTATATCATTTTACAGTTATTTTCTATTTATTTTTTTAATGCCCAAATAGATTGTTTTTAAACTTCTTGAGAGGAGAGGTCATATCTTCTATATTCCTTTCATTGTTCCTCAGTACTTGGGACAGCTCTGTGCCCCTGGTAGGCATTCACTCAAGGTTTATTGATTGACAGATGAATAATGAACTAACTTGAATTAACCCTGCAAGGGCAAGCAGTTATCTGAGTTTTCTTTCCTTCTCTGATTAAGAGCCAAGTAATGCTTGAAGTAAAGTGGGAATATAGAGATTAAAAGTATTTTACAGGAGGAAGTAGAACAGGTCCTGTGAAGGTCCTATGGAGGGTCAGGTGTAAACATACACTTTGGATATTGTATGGGTTTCTGATGATTAATAATAATAGCATTTTCAAAGTGGTATGTTTAGAGAGTGACCTCCCCTTTCTGACTTTAAATAATGAAGAGAAAATTCTTTTAAGGGTGAGTGGGAACTATGCTACAACTTCTATATTATAAAAGAAGCAGCAGAATTTCCTTGTGGGTTGTATTCTGTTACTTAAGGAAAGAATTTTCTTATCTTTTGTGGCCAGTCAGGCAAGTAATGTTTTAAGCTTTCTATCTTGAGAGGTGTTGGTATTTAAAAAGAAGATTGTTTATATAATACATGCGTGATGTAATTTGACTCCGTGAAGTTTTTATCTTGTCTTCAACTTTTCTACATGAATAGTTATAGTTCCCTTTTACTGAATCACTGATGTACAGATTTTGACTTATAGTGTGGTTAGATTGAAATACATTAGTTGAAAATATCCTGTCAAAAATTCATTTAATACACCCAACCTACTGATCATGATAACTTAGACTAGCCTACCTTAACTCTGCTTAGAACATTTACATTAGCCTACAGTAGGGCAAAATCATCTAACATAAAGTTTCTTTTATAAGAAAGTGTTGAATATCTTATGTAGTTTATTGAATTCTGTAGTGTGTGGAAGTGAAAAACAGAATGGTTGTATGGGTACAGAATGGTTCTTAAGTGTATCAGTTGTTTACTATCTTGATCATATTGTTGCCTGGGAGCAGTGGCTATCTACTGCTGCCCAGTATCACAGAGAGTATGGACCATGTATCACTAGTCTGGGAAAAGATAACAATTCAAAATTTGAAGTACAATTTTTATTTAATGTGTATTGCTTTTGAACCACTATAAAGTTGAAAAATCCTGCTTTGAATCATCTTTATAATCTTTCTTGTGCTCAAGATTCACTAGCAGGGTGGGTAAGATGACAAGCAAAGTATGTCTTTAAATTATGCCTCTTAGTGGAAGGCTCCTCTGTCCATGGGACTCTCCAGGCAAGAATACTGGAGGTTGCCATTCCCTTCTCCAAGGGATCATCCCAACCCTGGTATCAAACCCGGTTTTCCTGCATTGCAGGCGGATTCTTTACCAGCTGAGCCACCAGGGAAACCCTAGAATATTGTAAGTGAGAAAGGATTTAGTAGTAAATGGAATTGGAATATTACAAACTAAAAGCTGGAGGAAATCAGCTGCACTCTCATTGTAATGGAAGAGAATAGATGGCTGTGGGTTGGTAGATGGAGAGTTTAGCTAATCTTGATTTAAAATCAACAGGATGTTGGTGATTATTGAATGATTCATTGACTGGCTTTTTTTCTCCCCCTAAACATGTAAAAGGAATCTTAACGAGGAATGACTGGTAGAGATGACTCCGGTATAAAGTTGGTTAAACTAAATCATAGCACTGAGTTTTCAGTGGGTAGTCTGGAAAAGAGTTTATCCCCATAATGGGGATAAATGTGAACTTGGCATAAAATTCACAAAGCTATCTCTTTAAATTTGTAGTAGGAACATTGTGGTGTGTTAATTGAGGTGCTTCAGGCAACAGTGGAGCCTTTTGGTTTTATTTGATCTCCTACTATTGTTGTTATCTAGCTTCCATTAATAAAAGTTACATTGTGGTTGGGACTGAAGGGAGCCTTAAAGGAAAATTGTCGTCTAGGTTTTTGAATTCAGTAAAATGTAATTATTTTGCTAACATCAGGAAGTTTCTGGCTGAGAAACTCAAAGTTATTTAAATATATTAATTCGATTGTATTAATTGTCTTTAAAGCTAATACATTTAAAGATCTGGTTTAAATTTGAGATGAAGATAATCTAAGAGATTTTTAGGTTACTTTGGCTATCTCTCTCCTTCCTACTGAAACCAGGACTAGACAGATTTATAATAATAGTATGAGTATGTGGAAGCCAATCTGTTGTGTGAGCCAAAATCTGATAGCATACGGTGGCAATTTTGATTATTGAAGGCCCTTACAATATAATTCTTCATGCCTTTTGATAGAATTCTTTCACATTCAGTGGAAAGCCTAGATCTGCTTGGCATATATGCATATATACATGTATACACACAAATACACACATATGTGTCAAACATTGTCTTATAACTTTTTAAAAGCTTAAAAATATTTTTTAACACCTTCCTTGTCATTATTATTCTACCACAGCATTTCTAGATATTGTCTTTGCAACACAAATACCCTACGAAAATGTGTTATATAGATAGATAAATTTGAGAGATAATTCACAGTCTCTCGCCTTGTTAGAGCATCTTAAAGCTGCTTAGCCTAGGAAGAATTGCAGTTAAAACACCTATTTAATCTGGTTTATCCTCATTTTTTATATAAATTCATTTGCCCACAGAATCCTTTATTTTTTCACCCAGTACCTAATAATATCTCATGGGATTTCTGTTCTGTAGAACATACTTTAGAAAATACTCTTCTTCAAAATTATATTAATAGCTGCATAGTATTATGTGAATATACTATAATTTTAATCTATTGATATTATAAAAAATGCTGTGATGAATATCTTTGTAAATAATCTTTATGTATATTCATGATTCTTTTTTCTAAAAAATAGAGTAAAGAAATCAAAAAGCCTATTCCAGTATATTTCTAAGTTCATTTGTATCACTAAAAAGTTTCATGTGACTTATCTGTTTTGAATATTTTTGTTCTTATTGATAATTTTGGAATCAAATTGTGTTGACTGCTCTATAGGCAGTGAAGCTCAGGTGGACTTTTGAATCCACTGTCTTTCATTCTGTTTGATTATTTCCCTTTATTTGTTGCAGCAGGGTCAGATGAACTGGATAGCTACATGTATCAGACAGTGGGTCACCATGCCATTGATTTGTATGCGGAAGCAATGGCTCTGCCCCTCTATCGCCGTACCATCAGGGGAAAGAGCGTGGATACGGGACCAGTGTACGCCAAATGTGAAGGTGATGAGGTTGAAGATCTCTATGAGCTTTTGAAACTTGTTAAGGTATGCAGAGCAACTAATTACATTTACTGAGTTTAGTGTGTAATTTAGTAAATTATATCTACTGAATTATTTAATAATAAATATTTTACAACTCTAAGCAGCCCAACTATTCTTTGAAAAGCCATTTTGTCTTTTCAGTTAGAAAACTGTTACTATGCCTTTATATTAAATATTATTTAAAGATAGAATTTTTTATATAGTCTGGCACCGATAATTGTCAAATGATATTTACCCAAGTTTTCCTTAGGATTTTGGAGCTAATGAACTTTCAATAATGTTTTTAGCAAATATTTTTTTGAATGCCTTATTATATGTAGTTCTAGGCTCCGGGGATAGGACAATGAACAGACAGAAAAAGTCTTGTTTTGTTGGAGCTTACTTTTCTGTAGGAGACAGGTCAATAAGCAAACACATAAATTATATGCGTGGTGGTGAAGAGTACTGTGAAGAAAGATGAAGCAGAGTCAAGGTTAATGATGAGTGATGGCAGTGAGTGGTCCAGAAAGACCTTTCTGCTTTGGTGAAATTTAAATAGACCTAAAGAAAGAGAGACTGAGCCTTACTTTAAGTTAGTGAAAGAGGTTTATAAATTAAATACTAAAGTTTCTATATATAAGAGTTTGCAGCAATTGTGCATTCATTCTTGATTTCTCTACATGGAAAACTGAGGGAGAAAGTATGGGACTCATCTATCTAATAGGCAGTATACTTAGTAAATGTTAATTAATAGATATCCTTTTATATTAAGCAGTCATCTTTTTATTCTTATTATAGTCAACTATTTAAATACAGTTCAGTACTCTTAAAAATGAATTTTATCCAGTCAACTACAGGCAATTCATATAAGGTGTAGCTAGTGAAATAAATAATTTAAACCAAATATTTCCTTGATGTCTTAATATTTTTTTACAAAGGAAAGAAAATTTCTATCCCTTCTTGTACCAAGGGACATTGCATTTTATTTTCTCATTCTTTAGAAAAGTTTAGCTTTTCAGAAGCTGTTATGAACCCCTGTCATGAAAAGATTTGCTAGTTCCAAGTAGCTACTTTTGTGCTATACTTCAGATTTGATGCTGATCAAAGCCTAATATTAAGAATTTTGATTATAAAATTATATGAAACTCTTCAATTCGTTTCACTTTGAAAATATCTCTTATTTTCTACATCAGTTCAGTTCAGTTTAGTTGCTCAGTGGTGTCTGACTCTTTGTGACCCCAGGGACTGGAACACGCCAGACTTCCATATGTCCATCACTAACTCCTGGAGCTTGCTCAAACTCATGGCCATTGAGTCAGTGATGCCATCCAACCATCTCATCCTCAGTCATTCCCTTCTCCTCCTTTCCCAGCATTAGAGTCTTTTCCAGTGAGTCCATTCTTTGTATCAGGTGGCCAAAATATTGAAACTTCAGCTTCAGAATTAGTCCTTCCAATGAATATTCAAGACTGATTTCCTTTAGAGTTGACTGGTTTGATCTCCTTGCAGTCCAAGGGACTCTCGAGTCTTCTCCAACACAAAACACTCTTATTTTTATTTACGCTTTAAAAAACAAAACTGATAGGGAAAGAATGGTTTTATACTTTAATATTTAGAAAAAAAAATTACTGTTTGGATATGGGTAGCATAAGAGGTAAATACTTTTCAAAGGAAATCACAGGGACCTGATTTCTTCCTTCTGGGAATATTCATGCTAATAACAACTATTTTGATTATCATCATATCTAACTCTTTGCGACCCTGTGGACTGCAGCCCACCAGGCTCCTCTGTCTATGCAATTTTCCAGGCAAGAATACTGGAGTGGGTTGCCATTTCCTCTTCCAAGGGATCTTCCCCACCCAGGGATCACACCTATATCTCCTGTGCTGGCAGGTGGATTTCTTACCACTGAACCAACTGGAAAGTCCTGTCAAACAACAGAGAAGGCATAAAAGAAATTTCACTTCTCTCCATGTGGACAACTAAGACTTTGACAACGTTCACTTTGAGGTGTGAAATACTGAGCACAAATTCTTCATTCTCAGAATTCTTCCTCGTGGTACAAAGAAACTAGGTATTAAGTTTGTAGCATAAACCAACATTACAAAATGGTAGGACTCAATACTACAGGTAATTAGGTTGCTTAAAAACCACTGATAACTGATAACTTTGGAGAAACTGTGATAATAACACCCTTCCGAGAAAGGGAAAGATAATAGATTACTAATCAATTTAATTAAAAATGGGATGATTAGTAGTAATTAAGAAGAAATTTCCCTTTTGATACATTCTGTCTTTGTTGAAATGGATGCTTTGCCATTATCTTTATAGTAACCATCAGTTATGACATAAATTAATGCTAATGTTAAATCTTGACAACTTCTGCTTTGGAAGTTCATACATGATAATTATAACTATAGCTGAAAGAGATGTTATCAAGTTGTCTGGGACTAAATAGCTCCTTCTTTTCCTGTGCAAAAATATTAATTTTACTATAGGATATTTTAAGGACATAAATATCAGAAATATACTGATTTTATGGAAGAGATTGTATAACCAGGCTTTTATAGTTAAATCCATTTATGAAACACTGGTGCAAAGATTCCAGTAGAGGTCTTACATATTCTAATGAATAATTGAGTAATTATGGGAAAAAACGAGTTGAGAAGAGCTATAATTCTTCAAGTTCGTCTTGTTCTAAGAAAAAGGTAGAATTGCATTTTTTTAATCCTTTGAATATTAATGAATTGAAAGCGTTTAGATTCATTTTCATTTTAAACATTTATTTATAACAGGTTGTAGTTTTGTGACTTTCACATGTATGTCAGACTTTTGTCTTTGTTAACTCTTTTTACCCCTAGATATTAGAGCTAGTATTTGAATAGGAGATGTTTGTTTTTTACAGAGTTTAATTGACTAATTGCTTAAAAGAAGTAGGAAAGACTTGGAAGAATTTGCAGAATTAAAGGTTTCCTAACTATCAATATTTTGTAGAAGTCATGAAAGCTAATAGAAGTGGATAAGCCTTTATGTCTTAAGGATTGTCAGGTGATTATGACAGGTGTGTGTATATATATATCTCAAGCTGTTTGCAAAATATCTGGCTTTCATATAGCTAGTCTTTTGTTCCTTAAAATTTATTTCATATTAAAATATCAATTGATTCTCATCTGGGTTAGTTTGGCATATAGATATCTTGTATTATTCTCTACAAATATAGTAATTTTCCAATTCTGTGGGTGTCTTCTTTTAAGTCACATAAAACAGTGCAATAGTTCCTGCAAGATATGTCTAAATACCATAAGTCTATAGAGAATATATTTAAGGATCACGTATTCTTTCTTTCTCAACTGGAGCTACTTCTTACAGGATCTGATATTGTCCTCTTTCTTGGTTTATTCCCTAATTTCAATGGAATCCATCATTAAGAGATTCCCTTAGAGAAGGAAATTCCAGTTTCCTTTCAAGTCCTTGCAGTTTGCAAATGTTCTTATTCTACCCTCATATTTGATTAGTTTGTCCATTAAATTTAATATTTTAGAATGAAGGTCACTTTTCCTCAAATCATTAAAGGCACTGCTCCATGGTCCTCTAGCATTTTGTGATGAGAAGTTTCATGCTAATGTGATATTTGTTCCTTTTTTAGCTGACTCGTTTTTCTTCTCTGTTGTCTTTTATGATTGTGTCTTTATGTTTGATGTAATGAAATGTCACAGCAGCATACTGGACATTGAAAGTGGCTTCCCCTGTATCCTTTCTACAGTTTTCTGTTGAGTAGCAGCATACCTCTTTCCTCTTTCTCCTAATGATTGTTTAGGGATGGCATTAATCCAGGTGAAAGCCAGTCACAGCATGGCATCCTGGCCGCAGCCATTAGTTGGGTTGGTTTTATTAATCTGCATTGTACCACATAGGGTGAAACCCAAGATGACGGATTGTTGGCAGAAGATAAGGCCTTTCTCCTGTGCAGAGCAGCATGTGGATATGAGCCCTAACACTGCTACCGCTTGCTTTCTTTGGTAGAGAAAGAGAGCCTGCTGTCTAGCCTGCCATGCGAACGGTGGCAGAGCCAGTAGGACTGCAGTGCTAGGCTGGCCCTGCAAAGTGTCCTCTCATTATTTGATGGTGACTCCCTTTGACCTTCTTTATTCTCTTTTGCTGGTACTCTAGTTGATCACACTTGAGACCTCCCAGTTTGAACTTTCATGTCTCTTGTGTCTACTCCTGTAACTTCCATCTCTATATTTTTTTGTTGTACATTCTGTGAGGTTTCCCTTTTAAACACCCTACTTTCTTGTTGAAATTTTCTTTTTATTATAGCAATCAGGAACTTTACTTGTTTATTGATTGTTCCTTTTTAATAACAACCTCTTTTTTCTTCTATAGATGTATTAATAACATCCTTATATCCATCTTAAAATACAGATTAGAGTCTTTAAACATTTCATTCTCTGAAATATTCATGTTTTCTTTGGGGTCTATTTTCTCATGTTTTTTTTGTCTTTCATGTTGAAGGCTTTTCTCAAATGTCTTGGTTACTTGTTTATATCTAAGAATAAGGCAAGGGGAAAGCTGAATAGATGCTTTTTTTGAGATTAGAGTTTTTCCAGCTTCACACTTCATCCTTGTTATACGTGGAGCTCAGGATAGTGTGGCCTTGTTTAATTCCTTTCTTGGCTTTCTTCTCTCCTGTACAAACTGGGTTACAACTTCCTCTGTTGATTTATCAGTCATTGTTCCTTCTTCTGCTGCTTTCTGACTCAAGAATCTAATTGAAATCCCTACTCCATTGATGTCTCCCCCCCCAGTTTTCTTTGTTTTTTAGAGGTTATAACTTTGTTTTCATTTTAATGGAATCTCTTGATCCAGAAATCTGTGTTAATTTCATTCTAACGAAATTCATTTAATATTCTTCCCTAAGTTGAATATTCAGTTTCAATCTTCTTCTTCTAATCTTTGATACTTTTCTTGTTTCATGTTCCTTTTTGCATTAGGCATTTTATATTGGTATTAATTATGTTTG